GTTGTTTTGTTTATTTCATATTAATTTGATCTCTTTAGCATTAATTTGATTTCTTAAGATGTATTTAAAAATATTTTTTAAATAAAAATATTTTAAATGCATCTTGAACTTTTAAGATGCAATGAGGCAGATAAATAAGCCTACTGAATATTTCATCAGTGGTGCTCACCAAAAAATTATGCCCTCATGTTTATGTAACTCTGTAAAATAATAGATGGGTTGAAGATTGATGCTTTTGTTCTTTGACCATATAATTCTACCTTTTGGCCAAATGCGTTGCTACTTGCAAAAATGTATAATGGTATCATAACAGTTTTGCTTTTATTTTTTTCTAGAATGGAAAAGTAGTTATGAAAGGACAAAGGTATGCAAATGGTTCTTGCTCTTCCATAAGCCCTCCTACACTCTTAAAAAAAACTCATAAGGAATCTTGCTCAATTTTGTTTCTATGTTGACCTTAAATGCTTAACTAATTTTTAAAGGATACGTGCTAAAGACAATTAGCATATACAAACTTTGAAGATTGTGACTAAAATTTGCAGTTATTTATTTTAGCTAAAATCGCATGGGTTGTCTTTCCTAATACCTTGCTCCATATTGAATTTCATATTTTTTTCTAATAAAAACCTGTTTTATGTTTTGGCCTTAGTAACATTTTTTTTAAAAAAAGACAATATTCTAACAGTAATAGAAACACTTTATGTAACACATTTATTATTTATCTTTGAAAACTCTAGGGTAACTCAGCAGTGTACATGATCAAAACAAAAACAGAGAAACTCAGCAATTTTGTTATATATCAGAAAGCAACATGCAAGAAACTTTGCAGCAAAGATGATCTGTAAATAGGAGTAATAAATAAAAATAAAAAGAATAAGAAAATATTTTTATGGTTTGCACAAAAGGCAGACAGATGATAGAGGTCCACAGAGGCCAGAAGGGCTTTTGAAAATGATGCTACTAGGTTTGCAAAACTAAAGAGCAGTTTACTGATAATGAGATACTTGCATTTTAAAAAAAAAAAAAAAAAAGTAAGCCACCTTTTTTTAAAAAGTGGGGTTGAACGTTCTTCAAATATTTGTGATGTTTCTGTTTAACAACTGCTACATTCCATTGCCTCCATTCAGTAATCCCACTCTAGGGAATGTTGCTTATTAAAGTTAATTTGAGCTTTTCCAACAGATTAACAAGGAACAGGATCTGAAGTGTGAGTCTATTTATTTCTCTATGAGCGTTAAGTAGGAGATCAGGCTTGAACGTTTTTTTTGTAGTTGACCTTTCTGAAATAATGTTGAAGAATCCTATGTACTGATTTAGAATTAAGCTTGATCTTACGAGTGGATTTTTCTACTCTTGGAGAAATCTCTTTTTTGGTGGGTATCTACTTTACTAGCATGCCAGTAGAGGAGAAGTAATGTTGTTTTGCAGGGTTGTTGGCATGCTCAGTGAAGGGCTTGGAAGCCCCACAGAGTGGCAATTTCTTCTTCTTTGTCTTTAAATAATCCCTATGTTTTATTGTTAAAATATTGAGGTACAAAGAAAGTAGGAAAAAGCAAGATAAAGCAAAAAACAAAAACAAAAAAAACCCTACTACATTTATATTTTTAAAAGCATAAAAAAGAGAAAATAAATTGCATTCTAGGAATCTGTCTTCCCTTTCATTTGTATTCCCAACCACTAGCCACAGTTTAAACATTTAAACTTTGCATCAAACAGTAATTGTTGTTGGTTTCTATTTAAATCCTAAAGACCATATTCCAGATGTCTAAATCTGCCCTGCTCTATGATAATTGTATACAATGGCAGCCCTTCCTGCTTGAATTTGGTTAAACTTCTAGAATATGTACTTTCAGTTTTGCCACCGCAGCACATTCTCCAGTTTCAGCTTCCCGATCTTATATGGTGGGCCACGTATCTCTTTTCCGATCAAAGTGGCATTATCAGGGAGGAAATGTAACCTGTGAGTTGAACATCCCTGAATTAAGGCTAAAATCTCCCAGCACTAACTTGAGCGTAAGCATCATTAAACTCATGTGGAATTTGCTTTTGCAAATTTCCAAAATGATTGGCCAATGCTGAATCTTGCAACTCTCCCATTGGTTTAGCTGCACACATAAAAGTAAGTAATCCCAAGATAAGAAAAACTAATATTTGTGGGAGAATATAGAGTTGTATAGGTTACAGTTCTTATGCTTGGAAAGAGAGAGATGCATATAAAACACGTATATATAAATCTGAAATACATTTGCAAGCCAAATTGGACCTTGCAGCAAAACACCATCCTATGGAATGCTTCTGTTCAGGATTCTTGTCAATCAGCCATGCCCTTTTTTAAGGAGACTCCATTTCGTATCCTTTTTTAAAAAACCCTACCATTCTTACACAACAGTTAATCAGCATTATGTGGCTATTGAGCACATACCATCTTCACTGGGTGTTGGTGATGGTGATTTGGGACTTCCTTTCTGTTGATACCTCTTACCCCAGGTTGTTTTTATACTTCTGGAAAAATGGGGATTTCCTCAGCTTTATCCTTCTCTTTTTTGTGAAATGTAATGTTTTACATTACAAAATGACAGGTACATAGATTTGCTGGTGTATATAATATCATTAGCATTCTGGAGCCTTACCAAATACTGAATTAGATGTACTCTCCACCGGAACGGCATAAGAACCACTTAGATGGGTGTAATTGATGAAATGAAATGAATGAAACCACACTGTTAAGACTTGCTGGGACAAGGCATTCTGTTTTAACTTTTTTTTTAATTAGTTTATCGAAGTATAAAATATAAAGTAAAAAAAACATGGAAAAGTAAGAAGAGAGGAAAGGAAAAAGAAGGGATATAGTGTAACAGGAGGAAAAAAATAAAATGGTTCCAACTTCCGACTCTCTTTGGTACTGTTGGGTAAAAGCAAAAAATTGTAGTTGTAACATTCGACTGTGCCAAAGGGACAAGGCACTGTGGATGTTGCCAGTAGGCAGACTGAGATCAAGGTCCTTTCTGAAAACAAAGGGAGAAAGGTGTGTGTGTGTGTGTTTGCCTTTGCATGTGCTCATATAGCTACTTTATTCTGCTTAAGTGGTTTTCTCTGCACATCAGATATTGAGCTCCGAGTTCAGGTATCAGACAAATTGCTGAGTGTTCAATTAGTGTTTGTTGGTCCCAACTAGTGTTTGTTAAGTGGGGACATGTTTTATTTGTTAAGTACTTATTTAATAATATTTATAACTCGCCCAAATCCTGATGGATTTCAGGTTGAGTAAAGGAGAATATTTGTTCTCAGGGTTGAAATGAAGGATCCTTGTTGCTCTCTCTGAGCTTGGTTGTTTTCTTGAAGACATTTTGTTACCCCAACTAGGTAACGTCATCAGTGCTAGTAGTACTAGGATTCTGGGTTGGCTACAACAAAGACAAAAAGCTCTAAGAAACTAAATATAATACCATCCCAGCCATTGATAATATATCAGGTGCTTTTAAAACTAAACTTATTTAATTTAAGGGCCAAGCATGCAGTAAAATAAAACTATTTTATTGTTTTTGCAGAATGTCGACTTCGAGAAGCAAGCAGATCGTTTTTGTGTGTCCCTCCCCTTCTAAAAGGCTGACTTTCATCTTGTGAGGGAAATCCATGATACCAAGTTGTCCAGATGGAAAATTACCTTGACTTCAAAGGGCGAGGCAGGAAGACAACACATTCAGGCAACATATTCCCAGAGTTTTACATTCGTGACTCTGAGAATATGTTGCTTGGATGCACACCTTCCTGCCTCTGTGTTTGAAGTCAAAGCAATTTTCCATACAGATAACCTTTAATTCTCAGTATTGCCAAAACATGCCCATTTCTGGTGACTACCCTCAAATGCTCTTTAACCACCCTTTTGTATGGATGGGGAAAATGGTTAAATTCGTGTGTGTGTGTGTGTGTGTGTGTATGTGTGATATTAGAAAACCAAGATAAATTCCATTCATGTCATTCATGAATGTTAGGGTTCTCACAGAATGAGGAAATACAAAAATGAGGGGTCTGGTGATGTTGGGATATGTGTTTATTTGAAAAACAACAACACAGATGCTGGTATGTTATGAAAAAAACAACAACTTAATTAAAGCCCTGTATGTTCTGCTTGTTTAATCCTATGGATGTTCTAGAAATGAGAAATATGAAACAAACAGGAACTTACAATCATTTCTATTGTTCATATAATCTGGTTTAAGGGGCTTAGTACTTCAGCCAGCAATCAGCTGCAAAAGAACCAGAACATGGAGAAAAACAGGGTAATAAGAAGGCGCTCGACCATAACCAAAGTCAAGATTTAGGAGATCATAGTGACAGGAGCAGAGCCAGGAAAAGAAAGTCCAAGAAAGTCCACGAATATTAGTCTGCTACCTAAGTGAGCTTCAGAAACTGTTTCCATGAATGGGGGATGTTTGTAGACCGAACTTCACACTCCAAGGGCTAAGGCAAGGAAGGCATAAGATGGGACTTAGTAGATCCTATACCACCAACATGCATATGACCAACATGGATCTTACTTTTTACCATTCATGAGCATATATGCAACCTATTATCCATACTTAGTCCTATATAGAGGCATACACTCAAACTTATATCAGTCAGAATAGAGGTGGAAGGGACCTTAGAGGTCTTATAGTTCAATGCCGTGTTCAAGGAGGAAGCTCTATATACCATTTCAGGCAAGTGTCTAATCAATCTTTTCTTAAAATCCTTCAGTGATGAAGCATCCACAACATCTGAAGGCAAGCTGTTCCACTGGTTAATTGTCCTCATTGTTAGAAAGCTTCTCCTTAATTCCAGGTTGCTTCTTTCCTTGATTAGTTTCCATCCAGGTTTTTCTGCCAAATTTCCTTTGGCACAGTCATATATTAAGATTCAAATGCAAATGTCTGCCATCCATCAATAAACATACTTGCTTGGAGTCATTAGATTTCACCTAAGCCTTGTTTCTGTTCTCTTCTTCTTCATTTTATCATCAGCCATTATGACCAGACAAAAGGATGTAGAAAGTCCAAACACTGAAGCAAAGATTTCCACTTCCTATATACAAAGTCTAGATGCAACCAGTACATCTGGAAATAATAAAGTAAGGACGTTGTGGACCAATTTAGCTTCAGCATCTGTAGCTGCAACAGGAAGTACCACATCTTATGCCAAAATAATCAGATCTGTGAATGTGACATCACAGTTATCTCAAATAATACAAACCAAGCAAGCAAGTGCCTCACGAAATATGGCAGGTATTGCCGAATCTGAATCAGTGACTTCAAGGAAGCATTTTCTCAAGACAGCAAATTCTCCATTTTTGGAGGAAAAACATTCAGGTGAGTTGGGGGAGAGACACTGAAACAATATAATGTATTGCATGATTAGGCAACCATTAGTTTTGAAAATGTGTTTGTGGATATTTTCATAATATGGATACGATAACTGAACACACTTTTCAAAAATAAAGTGGCTAATTATTAAGCATAGCACAACATTATTTATTTATTTATTTGTATGCTATGATGCCAGAAGGTACATGGTACCGAAGTACACCCCCCAAAAAAATAAAGATCCACCCACAAAATAAATCAAATATAAAATATCAATCAATCAAAAACGTGTGTACCAAATTCAAATATCCAGTTACAGCATATCTCTCTCCTTGAATTTAACATAATAATAAGAACTTAAATGTTCTCCTGCCCAAATGGGAAGAAACAGACGAGATCTCCATTCTTGTACCCTTTATGTTTAGAATCTTATACTCTAGTCCAGAGGTCACCAAACTTGGCAACTTTTAAGACTTGCAGACTTCAACTCCCAGAATTCTTCAGCCAGCCATCAGTTCTGGGAACTGAAGTCCACAAATTTTAAAGTTGTCAAGGTTGGATACCCCTGCTCTAGGTATACGCATGGGTAAAAATATAGAGGCTTCATTTCTGAGTGGAGACATGACAGCGAGGAGCAGATTAAATGCATGTTTTAATGAGAAAAATATTGGAATAAAAATAGTCTATTTCTCCTCATCCCCTCAACTTACCCAGGATTAAAGTTTATTAATGTTTTACTGTTTAATGCTTTGCATTAAAAAACACAAGTAAAATAGAAAAGCTTGCTGTACGCTGTTACTGTACTACTACTGTTATTATATTTACATTTAAAAGATTTTATTTCCTCAGTATAACTGTCTTTTATTACAGATTTCAATGCATTGTTCATTTCAAAAATTATTATTTATTTGTTTAAATTTACTGGCAATCAAATTCCAGTGGACTCTGGATGGCACTCAAAAGTAAAAAAAGTTTTTTGTTAGCCACTCAGAGTAATTGATAAGTGGCCAGCTCTCGAAATTTAAATCATAAACCAATGAAGGACATAATGAAACAGTCTTGTTTCTTATTTTAGCCATTGGGAGCAACTACCATACAGCTAATACCTGGGTTGAAGACAGCACAATGTCCGGTTTCCATATTCCAGACATGGGCAGTTCAGCAACACCCAGTCAGAGTTCAGAAAGGACTTCCCGCTTTCTTAGAGAGAACTTCACTGGAAAAGGGCCAGCTACTCAAAAAGAACTTGCTACATCTTCTGGTCAAATCCAATGGTCATCTCATGTAACATTTCCAATACCCCAAAATAGGACATCAAATGCCAAACAGCCTGATTCTTTAACAAGGATTGTGCTTACTTGGCCTTATACTTCTCCACAAACCAGTATGTATCTTTCTATATTTTCTATTCCTTACTGTCAGAAAAAGCAGGGGATACAGCAGGGTGGGGAAACTTTTGGTGGCCTTGAGTTTGCATTTTATATTTCATGGCAATCTTGGATTGCAAGAATAGCAATATGGATGCAAATGGAGGGAGGTGTGACACCTATTTTGGAGCAAGAGTTTTCCTCCCCCCCCTTTTTTTTTCTTAAACTGTTTTTCTAGAATTCATATAAAGGTTTCTTTGGGTTATCTGCCTTAAAACAATGGTAGACTACCACCTATAATTGACAGCATAATTTAAAAAAGACTACAAAGAATAGGGCTGGGTACTTGTCAAAATTCTGCTCTAGAACATAGCTCCAATTTGGTACAGATAGTGCTCGAGTTATGACCAACATTGAGCCCAAAATTTCTGTGGTTATGGGAGATATTTGTTAAATGAGTTTTGCCCCATTTTACGATCTTTCTTTGCAACAGTTGTTAGGTGAATCATTGCAGTTGATAAGTTAGTAACCTGGTTGTTAAGTGAATCTGGCTTCCCCATTGATTTTGTTTCTCAGAAGGTTGCAAAAAGGGGGTCACATAACCCTGGGACACAGCAACGGTCATAAGTGTGAACCAGCTGCCAAACATCTGAATTTTGATCACATGATCATGGTGGTCGTGTACAAAGGTCATAATAGTGAAAAATAGTAATAACTCACTTTTTTCAATGCCGTTGTAACTTTGAAGGGTCACTAAATGGACTGTTGTAAGTCAAGGACTACCTGTAATGGATTGGATGAAAGTGAGAGGGTGACATTAAATCTGGATCATTATGTCACATTAAGTCAAATGTGTTGTTGTTCAGTAGGCAATCAGAGATTCAGAATGTGCTAGTTTGGTCTGCATTTCCTCTTTAAGAGTAAACCCACAGTCTAAAATGCTCCTTAATCCTCCATGTTGCAGATTTCCAAACTGCAATTGGTGGTGTGAAACATTTTTCACTGTTGCCTTTACTGTGCCAGTTGCCATCAGTCCTGGGTTGCTCAACTATGGTCATACTTACCCATATCTGTTCTGGATCAAAATTAATTTCTACAATCTTCTTGATGCAGACCTATTTCTTTTAAGACAGTCCTCCTGACACTTCAGTTGATATAAAATGGACTGGGTAGGACGGAATATAAAATGAGTAAACTAAACCGGGGAAAATCTATAATTATCAGGTAAAAAATCCCCATCTTTGTCTCAATAATCGCTGGAAAATATTAATACTTTCTCAATCTAGATGTCAAAATGAAATACATTTAAAGTGCAGAACTGTTTGTCTTTTTTCATATGTGGATAGGCTCCTGTTTTGCCTTTCGTTTTGTTGATTTAGGGTGTAAGGCCCTAGGTCTGGAAACCTTCACTGGGAATAATAACAATAACAACAACAATAATAATAACAATAACATTTAATATATATACCTCGGATCTGCCCCCTTTTTGTAGCTCTCCTTGCTGTATCTTATTCTTTTCAAAATGGAGCATGAAATTATCAGGAATAAGTCTGCCAAGTAACACAATTTGGCAAGCATCGTATCTTTTTAAATTGGTATTTCTACAGCTGCTCTTTTCTATGGAAGATTGCTTTTTCTTTTATTTGTTTTCCCCAGTTTATGTGAGAGAAATACTGTCAGGACTCAAAGAGGCCTTCAACGAAGCATTTTGAAGGTTTTTCTGCTTGCAGTTACTCCACACAGTTGTCAAATAATTCAAATCCATCTCTCTCACATTTTTAGAGTTGTAGCTTGGCAACCTGTAAAAGTCTGAGTGCGCAGCTTGCTGAGTTCAGAGAAATAGATTCTTTTGACATACATGAAATCCACAAACAAGCAAATAATTTCTGCTGGAGTATTGCATCCCATTAAATGAGATCATTAAGACCATGCAGAACATATTAGTCTTGCACTGACTGGACTTTATAGCTTAAAATGGATAAGGTTATAATAACAATGCCAGCTTTGTTCACCCCATGAGAATGTTTTTGCCAGCACTGCTTGGCACAAATCTGACATGTGGGGCAGAGCTAACCTGAAGGTGTGTTGCTCTGGGTTTATTAATTTCTACTGGCTTTCTTTATGTTGATTTCTTGAATATTTCAATTTCTGCATTTAAAAAGAAGAAAAGCGAGTAATATAAACAGTCATACTGGAGTATTCAACATGGTGCCCCCTCCCCCCAACACTAGAACGCTGGCTGGATGTCTGCAGCCTTCATGAAACAAAAATATTAAACACATTGATACCTTTATAGAGAGATCATTGAAATCATTTGAGATTTGGAGATTTGGGTTGGGCATTTGGGCCATTGAGTGATCACATGGACTCGTTCCAGACAAGCTAACTGAGCATTATCCTAACATGTAGAAAGAAAAACCACTATGATTTTATTCTTAGGGTAATGTCACATATCACACTGAGTCATAACAAACATGATGTGTGAAGCAGATTGTGGATCTTATTCTGCCTGATATCCTGATTTTAGCTTAATTTATGTGTGCTTTGTACTCAACTCATTAATTATGTGAAGCTTTAATTCAACATGCAGAGATTTAGTCAGAAGTTAATCTCACTTCTGTTTGATATATCATTGTGTTGAAGTAGAGCAATAAGAATTTTCTAACATTAATTACAACATGGACAAGGGACAATGTGTTTGGGTCTTCCTGTCATTCTCTCTGCATTCTTATGCCACTACATTTGGGATATTTCACAGTAATGTTTTACTTGCACCTGTTTCAAGGTTAAAGTTTTTTATTAACACTCTGAATCATTGCTTCTTTCCCAGATGTTTCAAATTTTTGTCAGATTAGAAGCATGAGAAATTAACCAGCCTTCAATTATATTTGCAGAAATATAATTACTATATGAATACACTTTGAGAGATCCTGTCCAATATGTAGGTTGCATGTCTAATTTCTTTTTCTATGTTTCATTTATGAAAGATACTCATCAGTTAAACAGAAACTCCAACACAGAGAAAAGAATTTCCAGTCCTGATATGGATTATATGAAAATCCTGAACATATCCAACAGAAGTGAGGAGAAGATATTTCAAACTATAAGAGACTTCAGCAGTTCTCAAGGTCCACATTCCACATCTGCTATCTCAAACCTTGAAATGTCCACCAATGGAGGGAAGATACTTCGAACTCTCAGAGACATCA